GCATATTGTTTGAGGTTAGGTCAGGAGAATCAGCCAGTTTTTCTCTAAATGCTTATGTTTGCAGTATTTTGAGGCTGCGCCTTCCTGAATTGCATATACCAATCAGATACAATTATGAAGAACGGGAAGTTTTAAGTAGGAGCCTTTATTCCAGTTTAGAAAAAAAGAAAATTGTTTTCCTGACTAGAAAATTTCCCCAGACTGAGTTTTTTTTCTACCTTCTTACAGAGAAGTTTTGAAAGAGAGTGGCTTATATAACCTAGGACCAACAGAGGGGAGTATTTCTGATTGAAATTTTTTTGCTACCCTCTGAAGAGGCTTAGATTGACATGATACAGGGTGATATACTTTCAGCATCATCAGAACTTGCTAATGAAGGGATATTCAAATTATTAGATCTATTTCTGACTGTAATGTCTATGTTTTAGTAATGGGGGTCAGAAGGCATGATTTTCAACTTACTAACATCCCTCAAATATTACCCTTCCTTTTCATGATTTCTACGAACTACAGCTAAGTCTTTAACCACCATATATATAAAATTTTAAAGGAATTTTATGATTTGTTCAATTTGGAAATTTGTATATAAATAGTGCTTGAAATAAGTTAAATGCTTTGGGGCTTGGCAAAAACTGAGGCATAGGACTTTTTCATTTTGATCATGTCGTTTTTAAGAGTATTGACACATATTACCATTCATGCAAGGAGTTATGTTCCCAAATTTAGTGAAATCTTTTATAATTCAAAGCTGTAACTGTTTGCAAAAAGGTGCAAGTCGTGTGGAATTCAATGCTTGGGATGGGGGAGGGGACATTTTGAGCTCAGGCCTCAACATGAAGCTTACTGCCTTTTATATCTTTGGGTTCAGGTGGAGGGTGGGTTTTAAGACATGAAGTTTAATGTTACCGTCTTAGGCCCACCTCATGAGGACATTCCAAATCCATGATCTTCACAGCAAAAGGAAAAAGCAATGAGTAACTGCTTCAAAAACCACAATTATTCTACGTGAGTTAAGTTTCCTACCGGAGATCACAGTACTACACACTAGTGACTAACGGGCCAGGTCTGATTTTCATCCCCTTTTGTCTTTCAGAAAACGCAGCACACAGATTGCCATTTCGATTTTGTTGATGACCCTGGAGCGGGGATGTGGAGTCCATGGGTAGACACTGGCTCTCCTAGAATTGCTTTTGTAAAAACACCACATGCTGTCAATACAGCCAAACAGCTTTCTAACTGCAGCTTTTGAAAGAGTTTGAGAAGTGAAAACACAAAATATGCAACACATCTAAGATTAATAACATTTCCACTTTTGTGACATTGGACAAAACACATTCTGCTTGTAGTGCGGAAAAATTCTATGCAGACGAAACAGTGGAAACTGCGGAAACGGGGGCCGTTCAGCTTTTGGCTAAAGCGTCAATTTTCAAATACAGCGCTATGGCAACTAACGTCGAAGGGCTAATAAAATTTTTGTCACTATCTTTAGGACAACGTTTGGCTCTCCCATTTGCTGTGGATGTCACCTCTTGTCCAGTATGTGGGAATTACTAAGGAGTCAGAACTTTGCAATGTTTCATGAGGAAAAATGATTACGATGGGCCACACAATGGGCCTGAGAGGCACGTTTTTCAGCTCCTTCCCAGTTCCTCTGACCTTCACAGAACTGGATCAAAGACCTCTGAGAGAACTTTACCTTTCAACACATCTGAAAGCTATAGGATTCAACACATTTACAGGGGCAGAGTGACTAAGAGATTGAAGAGAAATGGCTAAAAGGGAAAACAAAAGCGCATCGAAAGATTTTATAACATTTTGAAATTCACAGGTAAATTGGCTAGAAGTTTACCAAGTGGGGAATACTATCTAAAACCAAACAATTAGACCATTTTAATAGTCTACTTTTGCTTATTAATCCTGATGTTGAGAAGTCCTGTCAAGGAAAATTACTGTAATAAATTCAGAACTTTTAATCCAAAGAGAACCCCTGTTTTAGTGATTTGACATAATATCCTTTCTCAACATCAACTGAAAGAAAAATATAGGGACCACTGCAAAGACTAAAAGCTACAGCTGGAGATAGAAAATAAAAAAGAGAAATAAAGAGAACTATCTCAATTCCTTTTCATCTCTTACAAAAAGGCTAATAAAATTTTTGTGAGAGTACATCTGAGTTTTATGAGACTTCCTACACCAGTAAATGAAGTTTGCATTTAAATCCATACAGCAAGCTTCCTTTTGGCTTAAAGAATTTTAATGTAAACCAGTAAGACTGCACGAGCAGTGCTGTAAAATCTGTAAATTAACTTTAGAGTGCTGCAGTCAAGTGAAGCTGTGAAGTTCACCATTTTGGTGGCATAATTTTAAATTATGTTTAAAGCTTGACTATTAGACACAAATGCCTTTGAGGACTGAAAGATTTGGCATGTAAGTGGGCTATTTTGTAAAAATTTTAAGTAACTCACCAAGTATTAAAGGTCACTTTTAATATTTTGGTTTCCATTGCACTGGGAGAATAAGGCATTCAAAGTAAGTGCTCAAACTGACAAATCTTTTGAAGAGGAGTATTTGCAATCAGCAAATGTCAAAATAGAACAAATGTTTAGGTCACAGTAATTAAGCAGAAATTCAAACATGAGCTAACTCTTTATCTGATCTGCAACTCCCCCTTAGTCTTTAATCTCAAAAACATGGGTTCTCTTTGGGATTCTACTGTAAAATACTGCATAACCTTGACTTGCAATGGCCACAAAAGTTCATACGCTTCTCTGGAAATCCTGTGTATGATCCTAACAGAAAAAGACAGAAATGTAAAGAAGGAGCAAAATGGACTTGAAAGTGAATTTGAACCTTGGGCTGAAATTAGAGATGAATCATGTTGTTTCCTTTGTTACTCTATATGACATTATGTTCATGGGCATTTAAAAAATTCAGGCATATATATATATGTATATGTATGTGTACATATATATATATATATAAGAATTTATATTAGGGATGTCAAGTGATTTGCACTCTCATACTTTCTATTGTCCGCTAGAATGAATAAACAAGTTGAGCAAAGGGGTGTTCTCCTGATCTAGATATGGTAGTTTGAAAATATGCTTTAAAGTTCTAAGAGGATTTCTTTGTTTTATACAATAAGCCTTTGGTTCCTGAGAAAAGCAAGATGCTTTTGAATTTCATGTAGCAAAGCCTTCTATCTAATACAGGGGACCATATAGACTACACATTAGTTAGAAACAATGGCCAACATATTCAAGAGTTCTTCAATGCCTTATGCATGGTATCATAAATTCAACCTGTCTTTAGGTCTTTTTCATGTGGGTGGAGATTGTAACATTTTTTAACAAGAGATGGAAAAAACGTTTTTTTAAAACATGGATCGTATCCCCACTGCTAAATATTCCCCACCTCTTCAACTCCTTGCCTACTTTTATTTTATTCTAATGTAGCCAACCTCTAAGTAGCTAATTAGTTGCCCTGTGGTTAATCTAGGTCCTCGACTTTCGTGGTCCTGAGTGTGGACAACTAATTAAAATATCCATCAGAAGATGAGCAGGAGCAGATGTGTTTATCTTTAGGCTACCGGGACAGCTTGCCAAAAATGATTTAACAGATTAAAAGTGGGAATAAAGGGTTAAGATGAAGGTCATGAATTATCTGTGGATTTCAACTCTCCATAATTTTCCAGCCTTTTATTAGAAAAAAGATAATCAGAATGCAATAGCTGTATGTTAATGGTCCTGAAAGCATACTTGGTGAGGTTGAGTAATCAGTGATGAGAGGCTCCCTGAACAATGCCTCAGTTTCTGGAACAGTGTGGTAGAGGTAACCCTCAAGTCTATTTAGATGGATACCATTTAAACCAAAGATTGGTTTCCCAAGAGGCAAAAGGAGAATGACATATAGCCTTACTGAAAGATTTTGTGATGCCGTAATACCAAAAAGCTAGAAAATTTCAGGAACCTGGATTTAAAAGTACAGCAAAATCTCTCATGCCATTATAATAACAATGTTAGGGGAATGGATCAACACTTGCCTTAAATTTGAGGCCCGAGACATCTGCAGTTCATGTTTCCTTGGGCCTGATTTGACCTCTTCTGTCTCCAAGCCCATGTAATAAGCTGTGTTCTAACAGCAGTCTATGCTGTTTGAGTGGCTTAGCTGGGAATGGAGATGGTCTTGCTTTGTTGAGTTAGGAGAAATAAATTTCCATATTGAAAGGTCTAAATATACTCCTTGAAACCTCTCCTTCCTGCTGTAATGGGTAATGAAGGGGAGGAAAGAATGTGGGTATAGATTTGTCTTGAAGAAAATGAAGGTGAGGTACACGTCAAGAACTTATTTGTGGTCTGTCTTACCTTTCGATCTCGTCTTCATTAAGTGGCTAGCATAGACAGGGAATTGGTGCTGGTGTGACATACTCAGATTCTCAATTCTAACTGCCCTCATTCTCTCCTTGATGTTGTTGTAGTCATATAAATGGGTTGGCAGCCCAGTTACACTTCTAAAAGCAAGTTTTTCAACTGTTCCCAACATCACAGATGCCAGTTGCTAGAAAACTCTAACAATCTGGTATCAGAATCAGCTGGCCCTTTGGGGCACATCATTAAAAACCTGTTTCAAAACATGTGCTTATTCAATGTCTGCCTTCCCAGCTTTATTGTAGCTAATCTTTTCCCACAGCTACTTTTATCTAGATATGCCCCTCACTTTTATCCTTGACATTCCAAATCTGAGGAGTTCATCCACTGCTAACCCGAGTGTGGATTCAGAGGGGACAGAGGAGCCTTCTTATATCTAAGGGAGCTTGCAATTTTCCCTATTAACATGTTTTACCTATAGAAAATTCAATTTCTTCAACCAGGGATTCTCACTGATTGGAAATGAAGGCAGAATTCCCCAAATGCCACTGGACAGAAAGCTGCCTCTTTCTTTCCCATTTAAAGCAAATGTCCCAAAGCTGGTTGTCGCCTTGTCTCAGGAGAAGACATGGACTACAGTCCATTTTGCCTGCTGTAGTTGAAGTCGGCTTCATCGAGCTGGGATTCGGTAATGTTTGAGAGTTTCATGTGTGTCCTCCCAATCTCTTCAAGGGCACAGGCCAGGGAGTCAAGATCACCATCGTGCTGATGACGAGCTTCCCACAGGTTCAAAATGACAGCAGATGGGCTACTTTGTGTAGCAAAATAAGATAAATTCCTAGACAGAGAGTTAAACAAACAAAAAAAGAACAAAACAAAAATAAAGGAACAAATAAAAATCACCATAAAGGACTTAAAAATGAATTTTAATGGATATTATTACAATAGAAGTAGAAAGCTATACAGGGCAGGTCTAGGCAGTTGAGTTTTTATCTCAAAATGCAACTGAAAACATACTTTGGAATGTTACCAATGGCCTTCTCATTCTCCAAGTATTTTCTTAATCCTCACTTTCCTTGAGCTCTTTGTGTGTGTGTGTGTTTGTATGTGTGTGTTTTTCCCTCTTGACCACTCTAGTCTTGAAAAGCTCTCTTTCCTTAGCGTATGTAATGATGTTAACTTTTTTTCCCAAAATATGTGCCACTTTGTTATCTTTCCCGTGGTAAACACTAGGGCCGTCAAAGTTTATCTTTGGTTGCTTGCTCTTCCTTTCCTTCCTTAATGGGCTCATATACTAGCTGGAGTAGTTATGAACTCCAAATGGAAAGTGTTTAAATCTGCACTTCCCGTTTCATAGGTTAATGGGAGCTAGTTACAGATCTCTAAATGACCTTGGATTTAGATATTGGATTGCTTCAATTAGATGTCCCTCAACATTTTCAAACTCAGTGCATCAAAATTTGATATCATCTCCATGCTTCCAAATTGGCTCCTTTTCTAACTATTGTAAGTATCCCAGAAAATCCAATTTTCCTCCCATTTCTCACTCTAGGAAACTTATTTCTGACTCTTCCCTTTATGCTGATTCTTCCTTTCTGACATACTCATCAGACCCACTCTTTTCTCTCCATTATGGTCTCAATTACAAGAAGAGCATTGATGCTCTTTATGTCTCCAAACTTTATATCCACTATCTCCTGTGTTCTATATCCACAATCATTATGTATCTACTCTATCTCTTTTCAATGCCTTCCTTGGTCTGGCCTCAAACTAGCTATAGCAATAAGGATATTTTCACTCAGTCTTCTTCCACCATCAACCCTGACTTAGTTCAAACATTGCTTCTTGCTTTCATTCCATCTATTCTGTTCACTAGCATTGCCCACTTCTCCCCCTTAACCTCTGATTATCAAGATCTTATACTCCCTCAGTGACAAGTGCAATATTCATCTCCTCTTTGCTCAAAATGATTTATGTCTTCTCTGAGCTCTTTTTAGGCTTTGTTGAAACCATATTAGTAGAATGATTATATATTTCATGTGAGAGAGCTTTGCCTTTCCAGTGAGACTACAAACTCCTGGAGGGCAAGAATCATGTCTAATTATTTTCTGAGTCCACTACCACACTTACCATAAAACTAGACATACATAACGGGCATTTATTCAATAACCATAAGCTAAGTAATTGATTAGTATGAGACTTTTTCAGATTTATGATCTTCAGTGAAAAATTAAAAAAAAAAAGTCTTGGACAATAACTTGCTATGATGAAGACTAAGACCTCATGAAGGATTAAAGGTCACTATTTTTCTTAGGTTCTTTTACAACAGGAAGAGAAATGTTACCTCTGATAAAATTCTGGTAAGTTGAAAAGATTTTCCAGATTCAGCCAAGATTTGTCTATTTTGAGAACGGTACTACTTTCTATAACCAAGCCTGACATATAATAACAAAGTGGACTCATGTAGAGAAGAGCCGTTGGATGACAAGCAAGCTTTTAAGAGCACATTAGTGATGAGATGGCCCAAGATAACAGCTCAGTCAGCTGCATCATGTTGTCCCCCTACAGCAAAGACCCAAGAAACCAAGAGAAACAGATAAAGATGTCAATCCTGGAACCCTGAGCTTCAAATGGAAGGATAAGGAATGAGAAGGAACACTGACTAGAAGGAGAAACTGAACAAAAACAGCAAATGAGGAGAGATACAGAGCAGAGGTGCCCTGCCAGCTGGCCAGGCACAGTGTGGCCATCTTGAGATAAAGCCAGCAGTGATCATGGGTGAGGAGCAAGGAAGGCAACTTCACAGACTTCCCAAGAGGAGATAGAGAAACTGTGCAGACATACCAGGAGTGAAGCAAGGTGAATACAACATGAAATGGATCTAAGGAGGGAAAGTACAGGAAGGAGGGTGAGTGCTCCAGGGATCTTGGAATATGAACAGCAGGGAGGGAGCCAGGATCCAGAGACAAGACTACCCACCAGCTGCGGCCCCTAACCATTAGCGTGGGTGACACACACTGAGTAAGAGATCCATAGAGTGTCAGCAGGAGGACACCCACCCAACTGGAACCCAGGCAACCCCCCCTCCTCACATTTGGTTGGGAAAAGGTCCTGACTGCTGGATGCAGCCAATGGGGAGCACCCAGGCACCCATGCCTGGTGGCCAGAGGAGCAAGCTCCCCCTTCCCCCACCCTCCTGGTGTCATGAACCCCACCAGCTCTGCCACTCCAACCACCTAGGATGGTGGTATGTGCCCCCGCTCTGACTCCCCACTCAGCCCACCCCACTTGCCAACCCCCCACCCTGTGCACCTGGCTAGTGATAGTGAGCACACCTGTGCTGGTCACCTGCCACATCCTGCTGCCTGCCATACCCCCCCCCCACTATCCCTCCATCTGGCAAGTGGCAGAGAGCACCCCATGCCCTGGATGCCTGCCACACCCCCTGCCCATCACAATTCCATGCGCACTGCCCCACCCACCTAGCCAGCAGCAGAAAGTGCTCTGCACCCCTGATCACCCACCACACTTTGCTGCCCCACCGACCCAGCATGCCCCAGTAAGCTTTCCCACACCCGTGGTCACTTGCCACACCCCCCTCCCGCCCACCTAGTGAGTGGCAGTGGGTGCTCCTGCACTGCTGGTTGCCTGCCACACCAGCTGCCCACTGCCCTACCCACCGGACAAGTTATGAAAGTGATCCTGTGCCCCCAGTTCTCTACCACAACCCCCTCCCCTCCTACTTGCTCACGTGGAGAGCACCATCGTGCACTCTTGTGCCACTGGACAGACAACAGGTGGGGAACCATGTACGCCCAGCCCACTCTCAGCTGCCCTGCACACCCAGTGAACACAGATGCACACTCATCCTGCCTACCACTGTCCCACCCACCTGGTGACAGCTGGTAAGTGCTCCCATGTAGCCAGACCAGCTATCACTGGAGCACACCTGCCCCGCCCTGCCTGATACATCAAACAAAACAAAAATAAGCACAAAACAAATGTACAATCAATCAATCAATACATAAATAAATAAAATAGCTCCTTAATGCCTTGGAGACAGCAGACAATAACAAATCATATGAAAAAAAAGGATAAGATGGCTCAAACAAGTAAATAAAATAAAGGGAAAGAAAATCTTCCTGAGGAAGAAACAATAAAGGAACTACCTGAGAAGGAATTCAAAAAACTTAAATTTAGGATCTTCAAAGAGATCAATGAAAAAAAAAAAAAAAAAAACCCTAGAAGAATTCAGGGAAACAATACAGGAAGAAAACAGACTCGAGAGAGTAGAAACCATACAAAAACAACAACTAGAAATTCAGAAGATTGACAATAAAATATCAGAAATAGATAACTCAATGGAAGGACACTGAATCAATAGAAGAAAGAATCAGTGAAATAAGGAACAAATCCCTTGATACTAATTTGTTTGAGGAACAATTAAAAAAATGAAGAAAAATGAAGATAGCCTAAGAATTATATGGGACACCATCAAGAGGAATAATTTACGCCCAATAAGAATTCCAGAAGAGGAAGAAACAAAAGTACAGAGAGACTTTTTGAAGATTATACTGGTTGAAAACTTCCCAAATATCATGAAAGATGAGAAGGTTACCATACAAGAAGCTCGGCAAACTCCATACAGGATACACCCCCCAAAAAACTCACCAAGACATATCATAATCAAACTTTCCAAAACCAAAGACAAAGATATAATTCTGAAAACAGCCCATGAGAAATGAAGTATCATTTACAAAGGGGCACTAAGAAGAATTAGACTGTGCCTGGCTACCACTACCAGCTGCTCTGACTAGGGACACAATAGGTCCAGGTTAGAATAGGATAAAAATGTAGAACAAAGCTCCAGTTCAGACTTACTGGACTGATAAAGATTGGAGGAACCCCAGAGACTATCACCCTAAGACACCCTTTTATTCTGGAACTGAAGTCACTCCCAGAAGTCACCTTTCAGCAAATAATAGATTGGCCTATAAAATAAACAATAACACCTGTGAGGAACATGTTCCTTAGAATAATCAACTACACCTATTCCTCACTTACCAACTCTCTCATTACGTGGCATTTTGCATTTTGGACAATAGTAAAAAGTCTACTGATTATTTTGTGCATTAATGAGTTGGCAGGCATGGTGGCAACGGCTGTGGAACATCCCCTCCCTCAAGGAGGGTCTCCTGGTGGCCTCCAAGAAGCCAGGCTGTGCTGCCCTATGCTCCCTCCTGCCAGCGGGAGCACCGCATCTGGCTTCCACTAGGGACCAGCCTCCTCCTTGGCCACAACCTCTGGGCGGAGGCACAGGCAGCACAGAGCCAGTGGGCGCCTATTCTGGGTTACCAGCTCCTATAGGGCCTGAGGCTGTGCAGTTCCAAATTGCTGTGGGGTGGGAAAGGAGGAACGAAAGAGGCACTGGAGAGGGTGTTTGGAAGAAATGCCTGTCAGTGAGACTAATGACATTCCAAAATGAGCCAAACTAGGCTTGAAACCTCCACCTCGGTGGGGCTGGTGCATGGCCGGGCTCCCAGTGCCCTCACAGAAAGCCCTGAGCCTCAGGATAATGAACGCAGGGCTTGCAAGGGTGAGAGTGGAGCCCTGGTGGCAGCTCCGTGAGGGACGCTCTGACCCACCACAGGAGGAAGGTGAAGTAGTTAGGCCGTGGGTCCTCCAGTCACACAGCCTGGCTTTATCCAGCTTTGTCTCCTCCAAGCCTCCTTCTCCGAAGAGGAATAATTCATATCTGGATTCATCACAGTGACGAGCACATCAATAAATCTTAGCTGTTATTATTTCTATGACCTTATTTTCTAAATAAAAATATTT